TACTTAAATTATTAAAATCCAAATAATTTTAGCATTTATTCAAATTAACGGCCGGCAGTGTAAGACGAAAATTTTTGAATTATTAATTAAAGAAGTCTCTATACATGACTATTTTCAATAATTAATATTTCGAAATTTTGTTGTTTATAAAATGGTAGAAGACATTTTTACTCATTTCAATCCGTTCTGCGCCCTCACGAAGTTTGTTCCGGTTGGTTTAAGACACTCTGCATCTCTCTCTCTCTCTCTCTCTCTCTCTCTAAAGAATAGTCAGTGAGCTTATTATAAAATATCCGACGATGTCCGTAATCTCTTTCTCTTTCTCTCTTTCTCCCTCTCTCTTTCTCCTTTTCCCGGAAAAGTTGGAAAATCCGTTAGTGAAAATATCGCGTATGTGCGCATTTAATTACGCGTCCGAGCGCGGACAAAAGTTTCCCTTATTACATTCGGATTAGAGCCGGAGTGTGCGAGTCAGAGCCAGAAGAGCTTGTTTCCATTGTGCCTCGGCCGTTGCTTTTAAATCGCGACCGAACTTTTGCCCGTGTATTCCTTAATGAAGGTTCTCTCGGGTTCTTTTGGCGCTTACTTCACGGCGCCGATAAGAAATTCACGAAGGCTTTGCGCGTCTGCTTTTTCATCGACTTTGCGATTAAAGGCGCATTTAACGCTAGCGCTACAGTCGCTCGTAAACAATGCATTTACTCGTCTGCAGTATTGCTCCTTGTCATGCCCGGTAATGCCCTGTGAAAACTCTTTCCGCGCCAAACGATGCCCGTAATTTCACCATGAAACAATGAATTCACCCTCATGCTCTTCTGTACGGTATATCTTTTTTGCTGTTGTAATAATGCATGTAGATTATTATGTAGACCCAAACATCGAAGGATATTCATCTATGGCGGCTTTTGTTTATATATATATATATATTTTTTTTTTTCATAAATTTATTTCCAGATCATATATCGCCGAGCGCGGTTCAAAATTCAATCAATCCATAAATTCATCGGTCAGCTTGGAAGCAACAACAACACGTCCATATTTTTTGCAAATTGAGACGGTTAATAAAAAGCGCTATGTAAGCGTACGAGCACTATGCGCGGTAAAAAACAAGGCAATTTTATGTAGTCTCTGTAACGCGATAGGTGGCTATATTCGGATACACCCACTACCCAGATACTATTCTGTTTGCACGCGCACTAACGCATTTCGAGGGCGCAGGGCGCATCGGATTCATCGTTACTCAAACAATTTCGATTTTCTCGTGATGGCGTGATCGCATATTTTTGCAGAATTAAAAGTTATCCCATCCCCCCTGTTCCTCCCACATGATAAGCATGTTATTATCTCGTATCCCAAAAACGGTACTTTTTAAAAAGTCGCTATAGGTAAGTAAAACGTGCCCTTTTTCGTCCCCGCGTAAAACACGATCAAGAGCGGGAGATCTCGTGATAATTCACTTTCTCCTCCTCGTGCGACGGCTCGCAATGAACTGGGAAAGTAGGAAGCTATATGTGACGTTCAGCTTTATTTTTGCCGGCGCAAAAGGGAAATAACGCAATCGGAATTCGCGGCAGGGGAGGGGGGGAAGTAGGATTTTTCAAAGAGCCACCGCCGTCGCCATCGTCGTCGTCGTCGTCCTCGTCGCCGCCAACGCCACCACTATCGAGAATATTTTAAATCACGTCCGAGATAATCGAATTCCACGCCGCGTGGAGACGCACCGCGCCCGGCCCGGACGTTATTCACCCTTTAATGGTGGATTCGCACCCTCGTCGTGCCCACTTCCTCTTTTTTCCCCCTTTTCCCTCCAGAGCGCCATTTACGCATCGCTGCTACCGGCGACGGATCCGATCTCGTGAAGAATGCAAAGGCTCCCCCGGGAACATCGCGTCCTCCGGCACGTCGTCCCACGGACCGTATCGCGCGTCCGTAAATTGTGTGCCGTCCATCCTGATTCCGTGGCCACGACGAGAAGCACGCGACCGTCATCTCATCTCCATCACCGATACTAGCGTCGCGTATTCTGTCTCCACGGTGATAATATCTCCGCGCCGACGACGACGTTCCGGCCGGCGGAATTACAGGATAGCGTGCGGTTCCAGAGGGGACGCGCCGATATTTATCGGCCGACGGATCCTTTTCGCCGAGAAAGAGCTCGAGGAAAGCCGTGCCGGTCGACCGCAGCCGTTGTCTCTCCTTCCGTGGTTAATTTCGATACGCGTTCCTCTTTCTCTCCTATTTTCCCTTGTCCAGATCTCTTTTTCGTGGAAGTCCGGCAACCACTGGTTCCGATATATGTCACGGCGCGGAGAGGAGACGGCGCTGAATTTGGCTTCTGGCCTGGCCTGGAGCCGCGTTTTTTGTGGATTCATCTCCAACATGTCGTGAATATTTCAGTGTCGAGCATAAAAAATTTCTTAGGTTTATTCGTGGAATCCAGTCCGATCTCACAAAATAATCATGAATTTTAATCAAGAAACCTATAGATAGTTCTGATTAGAAATAGGGAAGACCGGGAATAGTTGACATATGTAGCAGGTTAGTGACAGGCTTAACATAGCCCGAAAAACTGACAACCGACAACACTGCATAAAAAATATAGAATTGTCGAAAAACATTGCGATAATGTTTCAATAAACATTGCGGTAATATTTCAATTTCAATAAACATTTTCAGGCTGCACAATGTATTTTTCAAAATAGATAATGTTTTCTGTTTTATATACNAGAGAGAGAGAGAGAGAGAGAGAGAGAGAGAGAGAGAGAGAGAAAGAAAGTAAAAAGGATCAATAATATATTATATGTTATATTTCCAAATTTAGTTATATTATTTGGTAATCTGGGCTCTTTTTTTAAAAACTTTACTTAAAAATTAATAACTTCCGGTTATGTTGATGCTTAAAACATTTTTTTCTTAAGCAATAGCCAAAATATTAAAATATTAAAATTGAGTTAGAATTGAGAGTAAAGTGACGTGATACATTGAGAAAGAAATGTTCAAACCATTCTGAAACTCAGTGTACAGTTGTCGTCACGTATGTCCGTATCATTCCCTAGATTGAAACTCTCATTTATCACACGGTCTTTAGCTGTTCACATATACACATAATGTTAAAACTATTATAATTAGAGTCATTATAACCCCACCGCATTATAACTTGAGTCATTTCTGCGACTCTCAACCTTATTCGGGAAAGAAGCTTCATTCCATGATTTGGGACAGGAACAGGATTCCCAATTAGTATCGTAATGGTATAATTTATTTTGAGACAGATTTGGATATTCTAATCGGAATCTATGATTTATTCTAGAAAAATCGAAGAAAATTTCTATACAGGATATTGCGGACGGAGAACGTGCGGTTCTTTACCCGTATGCAAGCCGTCCTCCGCGGCAGGAAGGACGCGCGATCGGCACGTATACAAATGCTTCCTGGCCCCTAATCGTAAACCGCCGGGAAACATCGGTTATTCCTAGATCCGTGCCGGAATTGCGTCGTATCGGCATGGATGTTTGACATTGGTATGAACGTCAAACATCTATATATCAATACGTCGCCGCTATTGATTTAGATGTTTGACATTGTTGTGTGCTTTAGCTACCGATATTGTAACCGTTATTATAGCACATTTCGCAGCCGGAAGAAGCGCGCTGCTATTTATTTTCGGACCGTGCNCCCCCCCCCCCCCCTTCCGCCGCTCCTTTCTGTCCGTTGCATGCGCACTAAATTGCTGTAGGACGTCCGCATGATCCTGCGAATGTGAGAGTTCCTCCATCGAATCGAGCGATCGCACCTCCCGCGCGCGTTAATAACAGGAAGAACGTCGTCACACCGACGTAGACTCCATTGACGGCGTCCGGCGTCGCTTTGTGCCTTCGTAACCGCGACGGTGCGGCATCGTGCAACTCGGGCGACGTGCTAATTATCGATTTTCCGCGGAACCAATTGCTGACATGTCGCGGCAGCCGCGTAGCGAGCGACGAACGCGCGTAAGGTTGCACGGTTTCAAGACACGGGAGAGAGTCATACGGATCTGACATTGAATGCGAGACGCGCGACCGTCGTATTGAATAGATCTTTCAATCAAGTTTAATCTTTCGGAGCGCAGACAGAGGAGAAGAGAAGGGGTGAGAGGGAGGGAGAGAAAGAGAGAGAGAGAGAGAGAAGTGGAATGGAACGGAGAGAACCACACTATTTTACTCGAATGCGTATTAAAGCTCGGGCGGTTCATATCCTCTCGAAGCAGGCCGACGAACTCGGGCGAGCGAGCAAGGGAGAGAGAAAGAAAGAGAGAGAGAGAGAGAGGGACCGAATATCTCATCTCTATATCGAGCTCCCCTCCTTTTCTTCCTCGTTCTCCGGAAACTCGCTCATCGATTCGTGCGAGCGGGTCTAGAAAAATGGCCATCGGGTTTTCTATTATCCCGATAAACATCTCACGGTGATCCGGACGGTTTGTCAATAGCGCGCGGCATATACAGTCGAGATGTTCGACGAATCCGCTCTCGCAGTAAGAGAAAGGCAAATGCAATATTGCGCAGAACGTTCCCAGGATTACACATCCTTCAAGTACGCGCGTTCGAGTTCTATCCTATTACCGAACCGAGAGACTTCGGTTATCTAAATTCGCACATCCTTGTCATTCGCCGTAATACGATTAGCTCGATGGAGGGGCCTCGAAAATTGAATTCATCGCGTCACGTGGCGGAAGAGAGGAAGAGAGTAGGGCGTCCGCATCCGACTTTGATCAATTCGCCGGGTACTCGCGAGTATTTTGACGTTTTCACCTTAATTGCAGTCACCTCGTTATCACCGCTCGCGTGACGAGCCGTGTTACATGTGGAATTAAAAATGATCGATGAGAAAGGACGAGTCGTGCGAACGCGAACAGCCGAAAGAAAGAGAGGCGAGCGCGAATTTTGTGTCGCACCGCGCTAGTATTAGCGGCAGTAATAGTAGTGGCAGTAATACTAGTAGTAGTGCGAGTAGCAGATACTTACAATTCATGTCCACTCTGACCGACGACGACAGCGGAATCGACCTATTGTTATTTGTGGCATTGCAGGTCAGCACCGAGTGGACGTCGTCCCGGCCCAAATTTTGTATAACGATCTCGCTGCGTGTCACATCGTTGTGCAGCGCGACGGTCCTGTTGCTGACGAATTTGTCGTTGCGATACCAGGACACCATCGGGGTCGGCTTACCTGTGGAAATACATCAATTTCGTTTGACTCGTCGGACGCGATCGTTGATTTCGCGGAAAACTTGTCGACTCGACGAATCGTTGCCCCGGCTCGAAATTTTAACTTTTATTAGATTTTAAGTCTACACCACAGTACGAGCTAAGACATCGCAATAAGTCCACAACTTCAATTCTAATATGATTTACTCCTAGTAGGATTAAAGATTCGAGAGAAGAGTAAATGATCAATATATGAAAACTTAATATCAGCTATTATGAGAACGTTATGTTAATGAAAATGTAAAATTATAATAAAACTATAATTTTATACACACACATACACACACACACACATACACACACACAGAGTGTCTTTAATCTCGGTTCCTATGGTGTACAAGTAGAACAAATAGAACGGGTGAAACTGAGTAGAAAAATCATGTACCATTTTGCAAAATTTGCAATAGTTAATGAGAAATTAATTATTTTGTCTGAGCTAATGAACGCACGGGAAAGGTAGACTGGACATTGTATAAAGAAAAATGGCTTACTTCTGAAGATCTCATAGCAACAATGAGCATCAACTTATTTCTAAAGACGGAGTAATACAGCAAACAGCGAGCGGCATGTAACACATTACTCTGCGCCGAAAAGAACATGCCTTTTGCTATGATATTCATCATTACTAAGGAAACCGGAAGGAACCATTTTTCTTTATACAGAGTCTAGCCTACCTCTTCCCGTGCACTCATTAGTTCAGACAAAATAATTAATCCCTCACCAACTATTGCAAATTTTACAAAATGGCACATGATTATTCTGCTCAGTTTCATCATTCTACTTGCACACCACGGGAACCGAGATTAATTTGGGGCACCCTGTATATATAAGAAAGTTTCATTATATAGAGTGCACGAACGTGGACTGATCAGAACATGAACTATTAGAAATGAGAGCATTGTCATATTTTACTAGTACGAAAATGTGAATGAATATGTTCGTAAAGCTCAGCAATAATAATTTATGGTACTAGACGTTTAATAACTTCATATACTTATTTTAATATTTTCTCGACAAATTAAAATTTGTTAACGGTCAAAATCAGATTCAACAGCTCAAAAACTTAACAAAAAACTTATCGATTTTATTTGTCACTTCGGAGGCCAAAATCGGCCTATTTTACCCACCGTCCTTTCGGCTCGGCAATCGTCGTTAAAAGTTAAAATTTTTACTCTTTGTTAGACCTTTAATTCTACAACACAATAGGAGCTAAGATAATAAAATTGGTTCAATCTCAATTTTAATAATCTACTTTACTTCCACATCGACCCTGATGATATCTTATATTTCCGTTTTTCCCCTTTCTGCGTCAAAATAGATTGTTTGAGTAGCATTGAAATTAAATTTGTATAATTAAAAGTTTAAGAGAAAAGTTAATATGTGCTAATGTCGTCAAAGTAGGTCTTTACTAATCTATAGGCCACTTAAGTAGGCGCAAACTAATTCTTCAGAGTAGTCATGTCAAGGTAGTATTCAAATTTCGACTTGGAAATCGTCATTTCGAATCCAAATTTTGGCCCTATGTTAGACTTTAAATTCTTAAAACAACACAAACTAAACAACACAATAAGAGCTAAAATAGCGAAATAGATTCAATAGCGAAATAAACTTCAATTCTAATAGTCTAATTTACTACTATGGCCCTGATGATGTTTTACATTTGTGTTTTCGCTGTTTTATTAAAGTAAATTGTTCAAGGTGGCAGTAAAATTAAATCTATAGAATTAAAGGTTCAAAAGAGAAGTTAATAAATCGCCAAAAGCGTCTTTATTAAGTCTTTATTAGTCTGCAGGATATCTAATTAGGCGCAAACTTAAAAGAGCGTCAAAGGATCAAAAGCATAAAAAAATTTTGACTCAGGGTAGCACGACTATTTCCTTCCAGGTTTTACTTGACGTTTTACGAAGCGGTTCTTTTCGGAGCAGGTGCGCGGGGATTTGAACGTCGATATTTTTGCGGACGGTCACTCTAAAATCGCGAAGTATTACGATATTGTCGCTGTAACGGATGCGCCGGTATAACGATATAATATGAGTGTCGATATCGTTCAGGGGGAGGCTTCGTTCAAAAGCGCGGTATAATATAATAATGATGAAATATAATAATTATAACATGTAATTGTCGAAGAGACGGAAAACGGGCGAGGACGATAGATTGATTGAGAGAGAGAGAGAGAGAGAGAGAGAGAGACGCCGCTATAGATTGAATATGAAAATGGTCTTTTATTATAAACGAGCAGGATAGTGCGCCATTAAACAACGCGAGCCTGAATATGCGTCACATCCGAGCGATCATTCGAGCGCGCGGACACTTGGATTATGTATCAGCAATTGCGTGCGCGGTACACACATCTGAATACCTAATTACTTAATATAATTGATAACGTAAATTAAGGAATGTAATTAATGTAGCAAATTAATGCGGAGAGATCAGCGTGGAATTTGTTAATACACGTAATATACACGCGTGCCGTATCGTAGGAGTAGTCGGGATATATCCCGGCATAAAACGTGCGCGCGCGGATACTTAATTAACGCGCGTGCATTATAGCCTGACGCGCCATCGCTCGGGCACCTCTCGCGGAGGTAATTTATTAAAGTCTTGGCGTGGAAATCTGGAGATTGTTAAACGCGGCGCGGATCGTCTTCCGTCGCAACCGGCGAGTTACCGTGCGCGCGAGAGCCGTTAATATTTTCTCGATGCGCGCGTGAGGAGGACCTCGCTGCGAAGAGAATACCGGGTTTAATTTGTCCTCGCACGATGCTCATCTCGCCACGCGCAGCATAAGCGAAACGCCACGTTGCGCGCGCGAGTTAGCCAGCGAGCGAGCGACACAAACACAAACACGAACTTGAATTATTTAACCGCGGGCACCGATTATTTTCCAGCGAGCAAATATTTACATCGTACAATGCAATTCATAATGCAATCAATGACATAATTTAAATAATAAATTAATGCACATATCACTGGGCATAATTAATTATTGCGCCATGAACGTGTATCGGCTTGTATTCCAGCTCGCTCTCGATTGTACTTATTAACAATGGGAACGCTCGACGTCGCGGGGACGGCCGGGTCAAAGATGATTATTATTAATAAACCATCGATACAGTGCTCTCCCCGTCTCACTCGTCCCTCTTCCTTCCTTTACCTCGCGTTTTACATTTTCGCCTCGACCGCAACTTCAACGACAAATTTGCCGGGCAATCTCAGGTCGATTCAGCGGAAACGTCGAAGGAGGCTGTCATTAATCAGAAACTTTCCAATTTTTCGACATTACACGCCCTCCCTGCGCGAGTCTCGAATTAAAATTCTATCGAAGTAAAGCCCGAGCAGAGAGTAACCGAGGAATACTACGGGGCTTCGTTATCTATTTGTGCCATGCCGAAGTTAAGCGCGCGAGAGGAAAGTCATTCTCTTTTAATCTCTCCCAAACTCGGAAACTGTAAACGTCGCGACGCGTTCTCGCGACCGAGGAGAGGATCGACCTCGCGCGCATGCTCTTCTTCTCTTTCCCTCTCTCTTTCTCTCTCTCTCTCTTATCCACCAGAAGTCTCCGTCGTTAAAATTAAAATTAACGTCGCGGGAGATGTATATGTGAAAATAAAAATCCGCAACGGCCACATCGTCGCCAACCCGTCGTCGGGACAAAAAGTCCCGAGCGTTCCCACGACTGTGCCGTATCGATCGCGCCGATCTTACACCCAGACAGGCCGGTGCGAGCGAACACCGCGCGGAGCGTTAAAGAGGAGCGTAAACAAAAATAGACAGGAGATAAAAAAAAACGAGAGAAATTCGCGCAACTTTTTTCGAGAAGGAGGCCGAAAAAACCGCCACGGGGGGGGGGGGGG